AACATTACAGTACTTTAAACTCATTTGTACTATGGCCGATCCCATAGCATGCGGTACAATACTGAGACATTGTCGAAAATCCCCTCCAAGAAGGAGAACTTTCCCACCAAATACAACATTCAAATTCATATTTTCTCTTAGTAATCAGTCTATGGCATTTATAGCATGACTGGATGCCATGATGCATTCATCAATAATGAGAAGTTGGGCCTTTTTAATAGTTTTAGCAACTTCACTGTTTATATCGAGTCTAGAAAATGATGTTTCATTTAATGGAATTGGTCATTTATATTGGGAATGAAAGGTTCTTCCACGGAGAAGTAAATTTGCAGCAATTCCTGTAGATGCTGTGGGTAAAACAGTACCACCAACAACCTCTAATATAATGTATTAAAACTTTATTGTGGGGAGCTGCTACAGTGTTTTGGACAGGTTCAAGCCTTGGACTGATGAGAGGGCACAGTCCTCTCATGGCCACGAGCAAGTCTCAGCTTGGAGGGCAGGGCCCTCCCAGCACAATTATAGCCAACAGCTGTAGTTGTAAGCTTGAACCTATGGTCCGAACACGTGGCCCCACATGCCTGAGTGATGTAGGCTTGATAGAGTTCAGGTGCATGTATTTGAGTAGTATTGAAACCCAGGAGAATGTTGTAAACAACTTGGTCACACCCTTACTTTGCCTCGTAGCATCTGCTATAAAATAAAGACATGGCTGTGGGCGTGGTCGCTGTCTCTCAGAGAAGCAGCGTCCCACTGAGACCCAGCTTTCATTCTCTTGTTTGTCTTTTCTAAGCCTTTCAGCCGCCCCCACTCAGGTTCACCCTTGGCTGTGCTGGCATGGTACACTTTATAAAGATATGCCTCCATGCTCCCAGGGCGGGTTCGGGTTCCTGCCTCAAACCTCGCCCTTACTGGAAATAGCTCCGGGAAACAGCTCAGGGGAGGGTACAGCCGTTTCCAAGACAACCCCTGCAGGACTGACTTCCTTTTGGTTGGTCATGCCTCTGATCGTGATGTTACACCCAGGGTTTTTATATAAGTAGATACTTTTTACTTAATTGAAATAATTTAAGGGTAATTTTGTCTCTTGAGAGACTCATATTTTCAATTTCCTATTTTACATTCATCTGTCTAGTTCGTAAGATTCTCAAATTTAAAACGTTTAAACAGAAATCTTATTCTACCTCCAATTCCTAACTAGTCTTCATCACTGTTCTTCAAATTAGTAGGTGGGAACACTGCTCACTTCATCAATAGCAACAAAAACCTAGGAATTATTTATTAAACTTCTCCTCCCTCACTCCAAACATCTACTATATGAATATATCTTTAGAGTTAGGAAACAGGAATGTATTTGTATTTAAAAATAATATTTGAATTGCATATTTTTTAAAGTTTAAAATACTTTAAATAGTATACCTAATTTTTAACTCTTCATTTAAAGGAAATCCCCTGATCCATTTGCACTTACTTATGCATGCATCACAATTTTCTTTTCTATTTCTTTATGTAGAAATTATTTCATAAGTGAAATGGCACAAATAAGCTATTCACATCAAACTAAGACATATAAGGAACATTGCTTGTAAACCTATACATATTAATATGCTTCAAACATCACAAGAAAATGTTTTTAAAATATTTATTGTAGATACTGATTTTTATATTTCAAATAAATGACATTTAGAACAGAAAAGTTTATTATTTTTAAAATATATTTTTATTAATTTCAAGAAAGAAGAGGGAGAGAGAGCTAGACACATCAATGATGAAAGAAAATCATTGATTGGGCTACCTTCTGCTCACCCCCTCCTGGGGATTGAGCCTGCAACCCAGCATATGCCCTGACCTGGAATCAAAACTGCTACCTTTTGGCATATGGAACCTGCTCCAATCAACTGAACCGTCCAGCCAGGGCTGGAAAGTTTATAATTTTTAATGGAGCCATTAGGTCTATATTGACTCCCTTAGAGTACAAAGTTTTCATTGGAAAAAATATCCTCAAGGCAAATGTAAAGTAGTATTTTTACTTACAGGAATTAAGAACAAATTTAGCTTTTCAATGGAGCATATCTAAAATTTGAAAGATTGCATTAATTTTGAAATTTGGGTAAAATTTACTATAGAGATTTTATTTTCAAACAAAACAAGGCTATGCTTTGAGCTATTTAATATGACTGTGGCAATGTAAAGAATCGCAAAACTAACTTTAAAAGTTCTCACTTAGGAATAACATAATCTCTGAGCTTAATTAATATAATTATTGTTTGCAGACCTGTTCCATCGGGCTTCTTTGTGGTGATGAAATAAGGAGAATTATCCCTTTACTTCCTTTCTCTCCAAGAGCAGATGACATTCCTACTCAAATGTATATAGTACCTACTTCTGAGGTACAAGGGCTACAAGACTATGGACCATAATGAATACTTATCCAGTTGACCAAGGTAAGTAGATGAGAGTAAGATATAAAGATGTTTGTATCTGAAAAAGTTGTATATTGAAACTTATTTTCTGACCTATTTCAATTTTTCTGATAACGTGATAAATCAAGAGCGTAAAATTGTCTTAGAATTCTTGTTGGTTATGCATCATGTTTGAAGTTTGTTTTAAGAATTATAACCCTTAAGAGGATATTCATTATTTAAAGACAACATTTTTGAAGGGGGATATTAAGGGCAGAAAGGTAGACTCTTCTATTTTTTGCCTCTATACATTTCTGATACTTTAAATAATTGAATTAAAATATAATATGATCTAATATACAGAATATTTTACCAATTTAGAAAGTAAAATGATATTTTCTAACATCCCTAACCCAATAGGTCAAATAGTACTAGTCATTGATCCCATCAATAACAAGGAGTTGTAAATTTTAATGTTTTGTAATTCAAAGGGGTCACTTAGTTTGTGATATGGCTATTCTGCCTGACACCATTTGTTCTGACTGTGGCCCTCTCATGGAGTGTGAATAACAGGAGTTCTTGCATTTATGTAGTTTGTGTAGTCACTAAACTTTCTCATACACTTTTATATGCTATATGATTTATAGAGCCGTATTTGTCCACATATAATGGGTGTGAGATGGCAGTGTAATTTGCAGAAGAGTCAGCCCAGGGCCAAAGCTGTTCATTTTCAATTCATTTTTATTTTTTATTTTTAGTTGGCTTTTTCTCCTCTGAAGGTTTAAAAGAGACAGACATTTTCAAGCATGACATTCTCTCAACCACTGGTTTGTCAGCATTAAGTATTGGCATATCCCTTGAAAGCTATCTACTGAAAGAGCTGATTTCTACTAGACAACTTTCAACAAAACACACACTTACTTCTTCCACAGATGTTTGCTCTTCTCAGTTTCTGAATTTTGATTATCATGACACAACACAAATTGTCCGGAGCACAACAGCTGTCTCACATATGCCTATCCAAACTTCAGCTGTCTCACCAGGATTCTTTTTCTTCAATAGAAGAGAGAGGACCTCGTTTATCATCTCTTCCTTAATGACAGATTTTATTTTTCCTACGCAATCTGTATTACTTGACAATGATCAGGCTGTTGCCTTATCTGCTGCCGCAATGAGTTCAGTAATTAGTGGCATTCCAGGGGCCTATGCTGAGTTAAACAGGCACTCATTCCTCTCCCCTGGATTGCTGCTCACAACTGCTTCCACAAGCATACCTCCAATTGTTTCTAGGGGGTCTCAAGAGGATACTGAAGAATATTCAGCTGTTACCGTAATTTCAAGAAGAGAGTACTGGAGATTGCTGAGCTCCTCAATGTCTCCCATTTCTCCTGCTAAGATAATTATATCTAAACAGGTAGCCATCTTAAACTCATCAACTCTGCCCAGATCCACTACACAAGCCTCCATTCCCAGTGAATATCAGATTATTACTGAAGCATCTAGCAACCAGAGACTCACAAACACCAAATCACAGACTGCTGATTCCTTAAGTGAATTAAGCCAGACATGTGCAACATGTTCTGTGACTGAAATAAAATCCTCTCATAAATTCTCAGATCAAGTTTCGCATAGCGAACAGTCCCATTTTTATGAGACATTCGGGATGAACTCAGAGATATTAGCCAGCTGGTATGCACTAATGGGAACTCAAACTATCACTTCTAGGCATTTATTTTCTTCTGCTACTGAAATAATGCCATCACTAGCATTCACAGAACTGTCATCTTTATTTTCTTCTAAAAAGAGTACAAAAGGAATAAGTTTATCCTTATCCTTGAAGGAATACATTACCCTATCAAGTAATTTGGATGTTAATTTATGTTTGGATAAAACTTGTTTATCCATCGTCCCTTCAACTGTCTCTCTGATCTGCTGAATTCTGATTTGACTTCAAAACAAACTGATGATCTGTTAGTATCAAGAAACATTTTTAAAATATTGAAAATAGGACAATATGGTATAACTGTGGGTCCCACTGAGACACTGAATCAAGACAATTTATTGGGTATGCAAGAGAATAAAGGATCTCAAAATCAGCTCAAAGTTCCTAAGGATTTTAAATTAAATTTACAAAGTCATCCAGAAACTATGTATTCAAATGACCTCAAATATAACCCTTCACTGTATGTAGACTCAATATCTGTTATTTCAAAAGCAACCTCTAGTGTATTCAAATGACCTCAAATATAACCCTTCACTGTAGACTCAATATCTGTTATTTCAAAAGCAACCTCTACTGTTGCATTACACACCATTTCACCAACTTGGTCACTTCCAATACAGACCTCTTTTCCCTTGTCTGTATTTATGCCACATTGGACATATTATACAGATGATCTGCCTTTAATATCTGATTTAAAAAAAGAGTTCAGAACTTCTTCAGAATGGTCCAAATGGAAACTTCAGCCTAGTAATAATTGGGAATCTGCTGCCGCAGGCCAGTGGCTTCCCATCACTACATCTCTTACTTTGTCTTCATTGGAGTCCATTCCAGCACCTCGTCAGCTGTTGATTTCTGGTGAGTTTCTCAGTTTCAATTCAATAAACTTTTAGAAATGAGTTTCTTTTCTACAGAAAAGAAAGAGCCTGTTGTAGTCACCAGGTGCCCTAAACAACTTCTTTGTAATCAGGGCAGCAGCCAGTCAATGAAGAAGGCACCTGCTGTTGTACCTGACACAGATGGTTATTCTTAATGCACTGCCACAAAGGCTACCAGATCAATAGGGGAGTTTGTGGGAGATGGCTCTACTGCTGGCAAGCAATCAGAAACTGAACTAGTTCAATTCATTACAATGGATCTTTCAAAGTTTAGGAATAACTTTTATTATTCTCATTTCTTGAAATAGCTTCTTTGTCAGATTGAACACAATGTAACACATTTCCTAGCATTTTCTTCAGTACTGGTATTTTCTTTTTTAATGGGAAAAATGAAGAAATTAAGGGAATTTGGTTGGGTTTTCCCATCCTTCATGGTGTGGTTTATCATTTCTTAATGCAAAGCTATGATGCCTTCATTAATATAACTCAGAATATAAATTAAATCCATGTCTTAACAAAATACTACATAAATATTTTGAAACAAGATAATATTCCATGTGTGAATTTGAAATAATTAATGAAAAGCCACTTTTCTTAGATAAATATTCTTACTTTAAAGCACTTTAGACATCACTAATCTTCTCTATCTTTGTAATTACTATTAAATTGGAAAGCATGCAAAACAAGTTTAATGAATGGTATTTATTAAACAGATTTTTTCCATTATTTAAAGAAGTTCTGTCTCATGGAATTTCAAGTGTAATGGTAGCAGTGCAGTAAATTTTCATTCAATGCAAAATTGATTTTGTGTGTCTATGCTTTAGAGGAAACACATATAAGTGTTTAGGTGTGAAATTTAAGTCTGGCATCTCAGTAATATGAAAGACCAAATTATATTTGATATACTAGTATTTAGTATATGATTTTATTTTTTTATGTTCATCACTTTTATTTTATACAGTCATCATTTTATTTTATTTTTTATTTTATTTTATTTTTATTGTTGACACTATTACAAATGTCCCCATTCCTGCCCCCCCTTTGCCCACCACCACTCAGCCCTTACCCCACCCTTCCCTCTGGCTGACATCACATTGTTGTCTATGTCTTTGGGTTAGCTAACCCCTTCATCTTCCTTCATCCAGTCCTCCCCACACACCTCTCTTTACAAAATTTCTAAAATTTTCATAATTTGTTAAATTACAAATTTAAAGAGGTATTCTTGTACTTTTAAAAGATGAAAGCTTTTTGTATAACTAGTATGACACATCCGCAATACCTTATACATCACTTGTGTCACATATAAGGTTCTTAGTAGATGCAGCTGAGTATACCTTCTACTCTAATACAATTAGCCCCTTAGGAATACAGGATACAAATTCTTTACTTCCAGGAAATCAAATTCTAGGCTTGCTCTTTATGAACAAAATTGTCACGTTCCATTTTTCTCATCCCCCAACTCCAACTGCAAATATGCTTTGATGATTTTGACCTCCTTCAGTTCTCCCCATTTCCTCCCAGTTTCACTTCCCTAATTATTTGAGATATGATAATCATTTACAAGGCACATGTTGACACTTTCCAATATGCTCACCCACTGTGTTGTCCAAGACCAAATCAAGGAATAGATAGCACACTCTAATTGAACATTTGGGAAGAGTTTAATAAAGAAATTATTTACAAAGATATGAGTATAATTTAAGGAAAACAGTGAGAGATTGTATGATTCTGAAGGGACTAGAAACAGCAGAATGTCATTACTACCCCAACGCCTAGAGGGACAAAGTAAAGAGCAGTTATCAAAATCCAGAACCTAAGGAGAAAAGCTGCCAGACTACAGAAGCCATGGCTTTTAGGAAGAGCACACAGGCCATCCAAGGCAAACCAACCAGGAAAAGATCAGGAGATATACACCCAACCTTACTTTCTTCTAGTCTTCTAGTATTCTACTGGTGTTCCATTCAGTAGCTGGAACTGATCTTTAAAAACACATCTGGTCTAATCTCTTCATGTAAAAGAAATGTGGGGTAGGCCACAGTAGAATGGTCTATAGTGCTAAAATCTTGATTAGGTTCCGTGACACTGGCAAAATATAGAACAAGTGTATAACTGATAAATGAAGAATTTCTTTGTAGGCTTCTTAAGTGGACCATTGGGTACTATTATTTCCTCCCTACATGCTACTTTCATACTAAAAAATTATAAAAGGTAGAAAGCCTATAATTCTGAGCTCCCTTGCTCTAGTGGATTTCTCAGGCTGTACTGGGTTGCTGAGAAGAAATAATGACACTCCAAAGTGAGGCATCATGGAGTTACCTCCATCAATATGTTTCTTAAAGTTTTGCATAATTTTAAACTATAGAAGTGCTGGTTAATTGGATCAAAATTATCTTTCTCAGACATCCTCCAAACCAAACCAGCCTTTGTGGTTTGGTTTAACTCATGAAGTAAATGAAGTTTAAGAGGAAAAAAAAGATATTGTTTTCTTATAATGATATGACTCTCTTTTTTTCTACTAACTATTTGGGAAGAATATAACAGAGAGCAACCAAGGCTTTCTGCCCCAAATATTCTCAATTAGTAATGGATAACAAAAATTGCACAAAATAAAAAAATGGTTTCATTTATCCTATTCATATTCATAAAATTCTAAATTAAAATATGATCCAATATAATATTAATAAAATTCTAGTAAGTAACAAAGGATTATTTTATCCAGGAATTAAAAGATGAGTCAAATGAAGACATTTAATGATAAAATTTACCACATCATTAAGTAAAAAGACATTGACAATTTATAGTTTACTGAAAGTATTTTTTCTTTTATTTTTATCATAAGGATTTATATTATCTTCATATTTTCTAGTATTTATATTTTCCAAACACAAAAAATACAAATAGCTCACAACAAAATTCAATGCCATTCCTAAAGTTGAAACAGAAGAGGCAGTGTCATTAAACTCATAAAGTCAAAATGCCTTATGTACACATGTGCACATATTTCTTACAGACCATTTTGTAAATCTAATGAGAAATTTCATTAATTAACAGAAACAAAACACAAACTACTGCTTAAAACTATACAGAGCAGAGTTTGAAAGGTAAAGTTTACTAAATAGCCATAAAATTATATAAATGGAGTTATGAGAGGAAGTAAAAATGGCGACCAGCAGGAAGGTAGGGAGGGACTGTTAAGCTCTTAATACTACATAAATACTATATCTGAAAAGTATAAAGCAATTTCAAACAAGTTAAAATGGAATAATATTTAGAACTTAAGTCATTTTAAAGTGCAAGAGAATAACAGGGAATAGTGAATAGAGATAGTAATAAGGGAGCTTGTATGTTTATGTAATATATTAAAATAAATTGTAATAAAATGGTATGTTATTATTACAGGAGATGCATATAAAAGGAAATAGAATAAAAATCCAGATATACATGATAGATATAAAATACATCAAAAAAGGATTTGAATTATAGGGAAATGTTTTAGTATTTACTAAATTATGTTGATGCATTGTTATTTTGAGAATTAATACTCTCTACCTTACACCAAAACAAATTCTATGAGGACTAACTAGTTTCAAAAATAAGTATTAAATAATCATAAAAATATCAGTTAATATTTTTTTTTTTATTTCTAAATGGACATATTTAAGCCTGAAGCCCGTGGTCCTTGGCCCCTGAGCAGGGCCCACATGTCTAGTTCTTTTAATGTGGGAAATGACTTGTCTATGCACCAACATAGTTTTTTTTTTTTCAGTTCTTTTTGCTACTGTAAGTCATTTGTAGATAGTAAGTTGATAAAAAGATATTTCAGTTGCCTCTCAAGTCTATTTATACTTGCAGCACGTAGTTCAGTATGACTAGTTGTCACTTTTATGAAAGTCCATCAACAGTATTTTGAGATGCTATTTAATGTCAATAATTAAGATATTACTCAGAGTGCTTGACAGTGTTATCATCTAAGATTAGCATAACATATGTTCTTTCTTAGTAACCATGTTTCAGTTAGCAACACATTTCATTGAGGATGCACCAGGTCCTGGTCTCTAATTATGGTGTGTGTGATACACTGCTAAACAAAACAGATGCTTCCTGCCCTCTTAGAGCTTATTTTCTAGTGGAAAGAGACAGATTGCAAACACTAAGCTTAATAAACCTATATTTCCATATAACCTGTTATATGTAACAAAGTCTTCATAGTATAGTTCTAATATATGTAGAGAGTGTATATGTAAGTATGTATATCTATAATAAAAGCATAATATGCTAATTAGACCAGACGTCCTTCCAGATGACCTTCTGGATGAAGCCAGGCTGTGAGGGAAGCCCGGGTCCAGGATGCCTGCGGGTCGTCAGAGGGAAGCCCAGGTCCCAGGTGCCAGAGGGAAGCTGGTGCCGGCAGCCAAGGGAAGGAAAGCCTACACTTGCATGAATTTCGTGCATCAGGCCTCTTGTTAATATATAATATTTTTATTTTCTATTCTACAGTATATTTATCCTCTAAATTATATATGTATATAAAACATTTGCATATATAATATAAATACATATATATGATGTGATAGCCTATATGGATAAAAGAAAAAATAGAGTAGAATAGGAGAGGGCTGGGTGTCACAAGGTCTGGGTTGAGGGGTGAGAAACAATAGTATGATCAGGTTTGATCTCTTTGAGTTAGCCATCTTGAAGGAGACGAGAGCTGTGTAAATATAAGGAGAAGACTGTCCCATAAAGAGTAAATAGTCAGTGCTGTGTTAAAGCAGGTGTGCACTTGACATTTTCTGAGAACATTAGGGAAACCATGGTGGTGGATCAGGTAAACCAGAGAGACTTTTAGAGGATGAAGTCAAATTGATAATAGGGTGGAGCAAACAAAATCACATCCTAAGAACCTTAGGCCATTTTAAGTGTTTGTCTTTTATTCTGAGTGAAACAATTATTCCAGGGGTTTGGGCAGAGAAATGACATAAT